AAAATAGAAATGATTATATCATACGTATGTCTTGAATAGATAATAAAGAATAACATATGCATATGTTAACGTAATTCATAATTTAAATAGTCTGTTTAAAAAAAAGTAGAGAACTGGATTCTCTCAAAAGTTACTAACAATAGTTTAGAATAATGATTGTGTGTTAATATATATGTGAGTTATACATATATCCATACAGTACAGAATTTGCAGTAATATCGCTATAATAACACTGCAATATTGCTGCAATGTTGCAGCATTGTTGCTGCAACTTTTGTGCTGTAGGGGTATAAAGATATTGAAAAATATCAAATAAATATGTTGTGTTATTATATATGTACATTGGATTATAAAAAAATATATGTATATGTTACGAACACATCCACAAACATACTTACATATGCGCATATGTAAGTTTGTGATGTGCAATAAATATATGTTATGTGTCATTAATAAAATGTTGATATACATGGCCATTAAGTCTCCATTGGCTTTCGTTACAATTGATTTCTAATACAACACTTCTTTCTTCAATTCATACAAACATCATCCTTGAAGGAACCGACAAGGTATAACATTCAAATAACTAGGATTAATTTTACAATCTTTGGCTTTTCCGTTGGATATTTTACAAGAGCTGCGTCGAGAATAATTAAGTCATTCGCCGGAACTAAACTTCATAACCGTTAATCCTTCAAGCAAAATTTAATCAGTTTAATAATTCCGAATTTAATTTTTCACCAATCGATTGAGTAAGCATCTTTTACTTTTGGACTGCAATTTTCGTCTTTCGTTCGTATCTCGACATGATTAAATCTTCTTTCTCAGATCTTTGTCAGACTTTGTCGATAGGCCTTACGAATCGTTCGAAGGTGGTCCGAATAGGACTCTGCACTTCGAAATAGTGCCGAGTATCGGTTTAAAGAGTACGAAGAAGCCCCCGACGCACAGCGACGCGAACGTCAAGCTTGTTCCGGTGGTGGTACCACCGGAGATATACCACCAATAGGTGTAGAGTCCGGTGATGAGGGAAGCCAATAAAAGAATGATTATGATGATGCCACTGAAATCGTGAGTAACCTTGATGAGCACCGGTCTTACGTATGGATATACCCAGACGGTGTTGTTCGCCAGGATTCCGAAAGCAGCGACTAGGAAGGCTAATATAATCGTTACTAAGCCCAGCTGCGAGTGAGATGTTGCAAAATAGAGACTATTATAATCAAATTTGTTAACAATGGCGAGAATAAGACCGATCAAGATTAGGATCAGGCCAATTGTATTTAGAATCCAGTGTATTGTCACTCTGTTACTCCCGGGTAGCTTCCAAACGATGTATGCTTCACCGGAGATGCAGAAGACAGCCTCTGTCATTAGAATGACCTTCGCCACGAAACGGAAAAATATTAAATTTTTATACAATCTTGGAATAAAAAGATTAAACGCTTTGTTTAATCATTAGACTTTAACTGATTATTATTATCGCGATAAAATACACCTATATATTGTAACAACACACTAATTGACTAGAAATTAAATTGACTGTTTCAATTTTTCTGAAATATTCAAGAGGTTTTCTTTTATTTTTTTTTATACTTACCCCAACAGTCGAACAAATCACATGCCAAGAGAAGCAACTGTAGTTCCCAAAGGAAATTACCAAGATATAGATCATCGGAGCCACGAGTAGAAAATGCGTCAATATTGAGAAGCCGAATGTTATGGCGCTCGGCGGCCCTTTATTTTCGTTAGTCATGTCGAGAAGGAAGATGATATCTCTTTGATACCTGATATAATAAAAAGAGATTTTCACTGTTAAATTCGTAATGTCAAACTATACTCAATTTGAGTTATCTATCTTTAATTCTTTAATTCTGCTTTTATTCTATATATCAGTAATTGAATAAAACAATATTAAACAATTTAACTTGAGAAAACGTATTAAATTGGACTCTCAAGTTTAATTTATTATTTACTAAGATAACATGAATGTTGCTTACTTTCCATAAAAATGAATTGATTTATTTTGACACACATAGAAGTTAAAAATAGAAAAAAACATACGATTAAATAAGTTTTAATTATTTAAAAATTAAAATTAAGCAGCAAGATATTTTAAGATTTAAAATATTTTTATAAATTTTTCCTGTCACATTTTACTTAGAATTTTCGTATGATATTATTTTATTAAATATTTTATTCCTTGTATCCCATATTCTTATTATGTGAGAAAAGCAAAGGTTTTTTGAGAGTCGCTGCAGGGTCCGGAAGAAGTTCAACCCAGCACTGCTGGGTAAGCGTAAAGTTCTATGGACGCTGTCTGTCTTTACGTAATTCTTTGTAATTATTACGAAGCTCTGAATGTATGATGCGTGATTCATCTTTAATTGTATGGTGCGATTTCTCGCGTCTTCCAACATATCTATCTTTTAATCTTGTTATCTTAGTTTACGCTTGAGTTTTACATTTGCACATGTATGCGATTACTCGATTAAGTATATATAAAAAAAAATAAATCATATGTATTTATAAATATAAATGATAAATTTTTTATCACGCACGTTTAAAGCTTACTAGTTCTGGAACACACGCATTTCTCATGTTATGTTTCACAGATGTAAGGAAGATATCAAATGATTTCCGCTACAACTGAAATTTATATTTTAAAAAGTAATTTAAAATAATATTTATAATATTATAATACAAAGATATTTACAAGATATAATTTGTACAATGTTAAATTAACAAAAGGAGTTACTTACAAAAAATACTATTATTTCTTACAATTAAACAAACAATACGCGATAAATCAAACGAATGTTATTAAGCAAGAAAGATCGAGGCAGTTAGTTAGATGACAAAATTTAGATCTTCATAACGATTCGTTTCGTTAATGACTTGATAACCAACGATAAGAAACGTTGAATTACGCAAAAATATTATTCAATCCGCAAAATATTGCGGAAAGTGCATTTGTAGTGCCCTTACATTTCAATGATTATATAAATGTCAAAATTGCAACAATAATTGCAAAAAAAACAATTTAAAAAAAATTTTTTTTAATGGAATTCTATTTAAAGAATATTACGTTAAAATTTTTATCTTTAAATAATTTTTATTTATATGAAATAAAAAATTCATTAGATTCTTTTTTCAAGAATAAGTTTGCAAATATTATTAAAAATAATAATAAATTTTTTTGTA